TTTCGATCTTATACATGACTGTTGACGCGTCATTTCAATCTCGTCATTAAGACAGCGTGTATAATCGTCGAATGTTATACTACGCGCTACGACGTTACTTTTGACACCTTTTGCCTTTTTAGTGTCCTTTTTACCATCCACCCGCAAAGCATACATTTTTGCTCTAAGCCCGACGAATTCGGTCATTATCGCGCCGTTATTCTCATCTTTCATCAGACCCGGCACCTTTTTATTCGCGAGCGGTATACCGTACGCATTATTCGCGGCGTAATCGCTGGTATCGAATCGAGCGATGTCGCGTTTCAAATTTTCATAGACATCCTGACATTTAATTTGATATATTAAACTATCCGTGTCGGTGTACATTACTCTACAATTGTCACGATAGAGCGGTGACATGTATTCGTGGTGAAATTCATAAAGACATACTTTTGATACGTCGAGTATGCACATGCCGACGTAGATTGGTTTGTAGAATTTAACTTCGAGTTTGCGTAATTCTATGGCAACTAATTTTTCCGAAAATATGCTTGTACTATGAAAATTTGGTTTAGCGATCATTGCCTCCGCACCGTACCGTCCGTCCCATTTTGTTAATAATTTTACATCCATATGATTGCGCACATTTTCCATCGTCTTGCCGAATACCGCGTTATTCATCAATTTATATAAATTTTTTTCAAAATCGTTTTTCGCTCGTGTTCTAAACTGTGTGTTAAGTTCGATGTATTTTTGAAGCCACGCTGACTGCGTGAATTGTAGTATGCGATATATTTTTGTTATGCGTAGCCCGTGGCGCGTGCACTGCTGCAGATTACGATAGTGTATTACGTAGCGCTTCTTATCGTAAAGCGTTGCTAGGAGTTTATATTCCCGCTTGCCGGGCGGCTTATCGCGCGTCGGGCAAAACGGTAGGTCAATGTGCGCGTCATGAAGATGCTGCGGATACTCTAAATCTACTTCGAGAACATAGCCTATAGGTGAATCGAACGCGATAGATGATACGTCAAAATTCGATATATCGTCGACCCACCGAAAATCAGCATATGGCAATGGTTGACACATTGCCCATCCGTACAAATTATTTACATCGAAATACATGAGGTACGATGAGGGTTTCGATGGGTCGTACGATTGCATGTACTTGTTATTAGCCTGTGCGTATCGGCCTGAACATTGACTAAGGCCGCCGCGTATACCTCGTTCGACAAACATAACCATGTCAATGTCTGTTAATAATTCAAATTTTATATTCGTATGTTTTAACATGGCGTCCCATGTATATCCGGGGAGAGTATAATAATACGCGGGATCGAGTCCGTAACTTTTTATACAACTATCGCGAAAATTCTCAAATATATCGGCCAATAACAAGACATCAATTTTTAAATATAAATCGCTATATTCGCCTAGCGTTCGAAGGGAGAATCGGCTCCAGACGGTCTCGGCGTGCGCGTAATCACTCTCGGATACTGTGTCGCCGGTTAAGGAACTGTAAAATGAGTCGCGCGGCGGTAAACGTGTGTCTTGTAATCTGTCCACGCAGTCTATGTATTCGTATGGAAAGACACCCTTTCGTGTCAATAAATTGAATTTTTCACTAGTTAAATTTTGATATTCCGAATGTAAAATTTTTAGTTTATCTTTATCCAAAAATGACGCTAATTTGTCGAGACTAGCACTGAGAAACTTATACGAATCGATAAAGCGTAATTTGATATAATTTTTTGCATTTTTGTCTTGTGTCAATCTAACAGTTTTCGAGAATGATATATATTTTTCCTTTGTTATCGGCAGTAATTCGATTTCCCCTTCGAACGCTGTGGCTATGTCCTCGATAATAAAATGTGCGTCGTAGCCGGACAGATTGTGAAAGACTATAGGGATACAAAATGATTCTTTGTAATTTAAGTTACAATTTGAATGCGCAGGACCCCTGTACCGCCCGGTGAGGTGGCAATGATCGCGGACGCGTGTATCGTCTTCGTCAAACGGTTTTTCACAAATGTGACAATGCGTCGCGGTGCGAAATTTTAACCACTCGTCAGGCGTTAAATTTACCATGGGGACATTGGTCGTTAAAATATTTTTTACGCGGATTGCTAAATTTTTAAGCTGTTCGGCGAACCATGCGACGCAATCGACACTACGGCGGGAATTGTACGCGGACAACGAACTGTCATACGAACACTGTACATAGTACGCGATGCTGAACACTTGATGGTGTTGATAATTTTTGGCATCTTCGGTCTTTGCCAAAACACACTCGAGATCGGCGTACACTACAAACGGCAGCCGCTCCTTCCTCGTGTAGTTGTCGAAGCTGAGCCACTTGTCCTTGTCGCTCGGCAACCGAATAGCACAGTCGTTCAATTTCCCGCAATCTTCCGTATGCGCTTGCAATTTATCCACCGCTCCGAAATAATGTAGGCATCTGTAAAAAATAAAAAATTTAATGAAAATTTAATTAAAATATAATTTACGTGTAATAAATATATATATACTTACCGATCGCATATAAATTTTTTACATTTCTTTTTGCTCAGCTGTGAGCTCACGAGGCGAGACAGATTTTTTATCAAAACAAAATGCCCGACGCTGTTTTCGTCTTCCACGTACAGCAGATTGACGTGCCTGTCCTTCTTTTTTTCCGAAAGACGCAACGGGACGATGTTCTCGTTCTCGATGATGTACACATTCACGGAGATGTCGTTTGCAAGTTCAAACTTTTTAATTTGATTCACAGTCACTGGAAACTCAATGTTTTGGAGATTCAGCACTGTGGTGTAATGCGGATAGGAGGATTCTCGTTCCATATGTCTTTCAGCGGGGTACAGAGCGGCTACTACTGACCATGCGAAACACGCATTGTCCGCTGATAGCACATTAACAACCGCTCTTTTTACCATAATTTTTTGCGGTAATTTGACATGGCATCCAGCGCGCATAGGATTATACTTGTTGATATTTACTGTCAAATCTATTATCCGCGACAATGCCCAGCCGCTATCGCGTTCCTGGAACTCTTCTAGCGATGCTAGCGTGGGCTCGATTACGCGGCGCTCGTACCACTCGCGTACATCGGACGTGCGAAAGAGTTCAAAGTTTCTCGTATTAATACTTTTATTGGCACGCTTGTCACCGGACACAAATTCGCCGTTGAAAACAGTGTTCACTTTTACACTGATGTGTCTCTGCAGCACATTCTCCATGTTCTCGACTACAATGTCTGCTGCATTTTCCAAAAACTGACGCGGTTCGATATAGTCGACGTTAATTACCGCACCGGTAAGTATACGGCTATCGAACGCCGTATCGATCTCGCGCCAAACGAGTCTTTGCGCGTTATTGCCGCCGCCGCTGCCACTAGGTATGGATCCACCACTAAACATGGATTCACCGACATACTGTCTCTGCAAGCGCACCTTCGCACCCTCGAGTCGCGCTATTCTCGCCACGAGAGATTGCCTATGTCCAATCGAGAGACGCGGACGCTTGGCACGGCTGCGTTCTTCCAGCTCTTCGATAAATTCTTCGCACTCTTGCAGCCATCCGAAATATTCGCCCAAGGTGCCGACTTGGCGGGAACGCTCCAACAGGTCGCGCTCAATGTTCTCCATTTTTTATGTCTGGCACTTTTTCACACTTTTAACCTCAGCCTATTTTCGCTGACATTCGCTGCAATCCCTGATCATCGGTGCTGGACCGTCAATATGCGTTCGCATCCACGGCCGATTGTAATGTTCGAGGCAGCGACGATATGTCTGAACCTCCGGATCCGTCTTGATATGCTCTGGAAGCTTGTCCCACAAATGCTCTACGAAATATCCACACTTTTGTAGTAAAACAATCTTCGGAATATATTGTAACTGTTCGGCACTTAAACTGAGAATGTCGGAAGCACTTGATAGCATGACAAACATCTTGAATGAAGAGAGCGTGCGCTCGCCAGTGGTACTATGGCCCGGCAGCGGCATCGGTCCTCGTTATATATCCCAATCAACCCTTTGTTCGTCAACGTACGAACGAGAAAAATTTAGATGACGTAAATTTTCGGCGCTTGTTTTGTTTATAAATTCCTGCAGCCGCTGGTTATCGGCGCTGGTATTTCTTAGAAATATACGTATAGATCATGTATCAACCCCCTTGATTGTCGGCGTATGCCAAGCGGTGGCCCTTCTTAAAATTTGATTATCTTAGATTTTCAGAGAACTGATTGTCGGCGCTCGGATCCAAGCGGCCCTTCTTAGAATTTAATTATATTTCTTAGAAATATACAGATAACGTATGGGGGAAGAAACGCAACCCCCTTGATTGTCGGCGCATGCCAAGCGGTGGCCCTTCTTAGAATTTGATTATATTTCTTAGAAATATACAGATAACGTATGAGGAGAAGAAACGCAACCCCCCCCCCTTCCCCCGATTGTCGGCAGCCCTTTTGTAATAGATATTGTTTATCTTTTGTTTATAAACATAAACGTATGAAGAGAAGAAACGCAACCTCCACCCCCCCCCCCCCCGATTGTCGGCAGCCCTTTGTAATAGATATTGTTTATCTTTTGTTTATAAACATAGATAAGCTTATCTGCTGATAAGACCCCCCCGCCCGCGTGACGTCATACCCCCTCGCCCCCGAAAATCCCCCCGCCCCGCACCCCCCTCAGAGGACTCGGGTTAGAACCCCCCTAGTATTCCTACTGACTGTTGGCAAAGTCGCTATTACGCGTTTTCCAAGGTGTTTATAATATTGGCTGGAATATGGTCATATCATACGATCGGTATTAAGTGTCTGATCTTCGTGGCAGTATTTACGTTCTCTTTTAGTATTGTTGTACCCCAGATACTTCTCATTGCACCTTTAGTATATGGCGTATGGCGTTCAAAGCGCTCTTGTTACACATAAAATGTTATTAAAAATCATGTATAGAGAAAATTAATTGCACATTTTTTTTCATATCCCAATTTTGTCGATATAATCCGCGATATTTATTTAAACATAGACGCTATATCTATTACATGCAACCGACATCAACAACATATTCGAAGGTGTGCCGTCGTTGATGATCATTCTACTAACTAGTTATCAAGTAGTATTTATGACGATATACAGTGAAAAAGTAGGTAGATTGAGATTGCATGCAAATTTAGTCGTGCAATTAACGTCGTATTGCACTTGATGTGGTTTTACATAAGAAAAAAAACGCAGGAAATGTATACTTATATAGGTAAGAACCTGTTTTAAGACAATGGAGGAGGACTGGCTTTTGCTGAACACGGAAACTGAAAAAACTATTTTACAACGGCATACTAAATACGGACAATATCTGACGAAAGTTTATGCGAGTATGTATTGGTAGAATCGGGAAAAATTCATAAAGATATTACAAATTATGTAACTGAAAAAATTACATTTTTGGGAAAATGCTTTTATGCTTTATGCATTTTTATACAGATGCTCATTAAATGTTATTAATTATAGAAATTTCGAAATATGAAAGAAACTCAAAAACTCTTTCCATTCTTATTTTTATTACATATCCACTCTTTTAAAAAAAGTTGAAAGAATGTAACAATTTGTATTTAATTTATTGTATTAACTTTAGTCATTTATATCATAGGCAATTCTCATTCCTTTAATATATGTTGCTTATATAAATTTATAGTAATCCTCTTTTTAACGCCATTGAGTTTTATTCTTAAACCTACCATACTGACGATAATGGAAAAAAATATAGAGAACGTAACAATGCCACCGTTGTCGAAATTGTCCTATCAACTTGAGTACAACGCGAAAATGGAGCAGCACTTTTATTTCTTAATGCTACACAGTTCTCTAGCTGTATTGTCTCATTCCTTGATTGCTGTCGCTGTTGATAGCTTCTATTATGCTTTGATCCAACATGCTTGCGGAATGTTCGAAATTATTGGGTAAGAATATTCAGAATCAAATGACGACTCGATATTGCAAAATTGAAACAAGAGTATCTTGCGCCAACACTTGAACACGCTTCTAGACACGTGCTGGAGAACATTGGCAAAAATAATGACGCCAATTTTCGTCTAGAGGTACAAAGAATCGATGATAACAATTATGACGCCGCACTGGACTGCCTACGTAGGCATCTTCATGTAGTAGAGTACATGTTAATCGCTTAATCTTCTTTTCTTTTTCTCTCTCTTTCCCTCTTTCCATCTTCCTAATCTTAATTATTAATTAAATAAATAATGTTTGCTCCAAATGAGAATTTTTCATTATTACTTGTAAATTACTTGTAACACATTGAGATTCGTGATTTTGCAGATTTGTCGAACAGATCGAGTTCTTATTTGCAAATATGTTTCTGGTCTGTCTTTATTCAATGATACTTTCTAGCACTGTATCCGGTATACAGGTATGACTTGACCTTTATCTTTGCAGCAACAAAAAGAACATATCAACAGCTGTTAAAAAAGGAAAAAGACAGTATTTCAATTTGGAACATAATTTCATTATAACATTGCATATGTGTCTTTTAAAATTAATTAACCTTAATTAAAGTCGAAGACAAAAAAACTTTGATTTTTCTAAAAACTTAAATTTGTCTTCCAGGTGATGGTGAATTTAGACAATGGAGACAGTATTGTAGCACCTGTGTCTTTCTATTTTGCACAATTCTTCCATCTCTATCTATAATTCTGGCAGGCTCAATTTCTATTGGATTACAGCGATATTCCGTATAAGTCTATGTTAGAATTTCTTTGAATATCTTTGAATGCGTTTATCGTCAATTATTTTTAATTCATATTTTTTCGTAAGGCGCGAACACTTACGTCACGATTCAGTATTTTTTGTTAAATTATCAGAAAATCCTCTTGTGTCCTTCATTGCGAAGCATAACGCTTATAAATATAAGTTTTATTGCTAGTTTTTATATCTAAAATAATATGAATCTCATTTTGCATTATAGTTGCAAAAGAAGATGGTACTATACTTCTCGAAAATGTAGAAAGATCTTTCTTCTAATTTTAAGCAGAACTATGTCGCCCTGCAAAGTAACTGCTGGCAACATCATGCCCTTATCAATTGAAAATTTTGGAACGGTAAAGTAAAATTGTACATTTGTATATATTGTACAATTAGTTATATACATAACATTTTGTAATTATCACGCAGAAATAAATATTTTTATCGGCTCTCAATATAAAGAATATAAATATGATGTTTTCTAAATCGGCCAACAGAGCCAAAGCACGAAAAATTATTTTGTAATTATGTTAAAGAATATATGACGAGAAGTTTGATATTTTTTAAAGGTTTTGAAAACATCGATGTCTTATTTTACGGTACTACGTTCTTTCCAGAATTAATGTTATCATATTGAGAGAAATAGTCGTTAATTATACATAATTATTTTTAATATAATGTTATTACACATAAAATTTTTTTTTATATTTTGTCTCATTGTCTTCCTAAAAATGAAAATCAGACTGACGATGAGTCCATAAATCATGTGTTTATGCATATTTTAAAATTCACAGTTCAACAATGATATATCTCATATGTAATGTTAAAGTCGATGGATTTGATTTTTGAAAACTATAAATTATGCTGTTAATCTGTATCAACTATCTTATTTTTTCATATCCATTTGCTATATTTATTTATTTATTTTTTTATTTTTGATTGTGTCAAAAGAAACAAAATTTTCGTAAGTTAAATTATCCAATGCATTTACTAAGAATCGCCTCTGAAAATTTATTTATATACATAATACTGATTAAAAAGAGATATATAATAGGTCTTTGGAGAGAAAAATAATAAGAAATTACAAAAATGTGGACACGAAAGGAAAGACCGGCAAGTAAAAAGTATATATAAGTCCACTTGTCTTTTATGCATGTAATATTTTTCTCTTTATGTTGCATTGATGTACTGCTTCTCTCTTTTTCTTTCCCTTCCTGTTCAGAATTCAAAAAAATGGTAAGTCATATTTTTGTGTTCATTTACGTTACATTTACACTTCGAGGTTTTTAATGCTATTTATATCTTGGAGAATAGGTTTGTGTGCTGAGGGAAACGCGAAACAATTTCATGGATCGATCGTCCAAAACAAAGATGCATGAAGAAATAGCTTGTGATTATGACTTGTAATTTGTATAACACACACAATGCGTGAAATTGTGTAAGTATATTATTATGTACAGGGAAAAGGGAATTTGAGAAAAAGGGGGTTCTTGCATATTATCAGCTATTTTTGCAATCTTTCGGATATGTATTCGAATAAAAAATGTGGGAATAGAACGATTATACACACAAAAAACTCACAAAAAAATACAGAGCGTTTAAATGACATCTATAACAAAATAATTAAGATCGTATAAAATATCCTTACTGACAAAATTTTTACCATTCTGTTGACGATCGTTACCGTAATATGTTCAATGCTGTCTCTAGTCTTTTTTATTTCTGACTGGTAGCATAAAGATTTATAATGTTTTAATTTGACAATAATTTGTAAACTCCTGATATGACTTAATTGTAACTAATATTTGTTGGAGCAATCGCTGGAATAGCTGAGTTACTCCGTCCCTTTTGTTCTGCTTTACTCAAAGTTGAAGAAGAAGTAGAAACGCCAAGGGAGTGAGAGACAAAGAGAGAAAGAAGGGGGGGAGAGAGAGAGAGGGGAGAGAGGGAAAGAAGAAGGGAGAGAGAAAAAGGGGGGAGGGAGAGAGAGAGAGAGAGAGAGAGAGAGAGAGAGAGAGAGAGAGAGAGAGAGAGAGAGAGAGAGATTGATTGATTGATTGATTGATTGATCTTTATTAGCTTTCACAGCTATTACATATACATAATTACTATACATTATTTAACACATATTCTTTTAACAGTCTCTTATATAATATTAATTCTTCACATTGTTTTATCTTGGTGGGTAACGCATTATACATTTTTATTCCTTCGTAAAACAGGCTTTTTTGCGCACTTCTCGTTTTACGCAATGTTAGTACTATGTTTCCGGCCTGCCTCGTTTGTCTATCACATTCTTTTCCCACTATTTCTATTTTATTACTTAACGCCACCGATGCCATGTTATTTAGTATTTTAAAAATAAATACACCTACATTATAATATAATCGTTTCCTTACGGACATAAACTGCAGCGCCTGCAGCATGTCCTCAACTTTGGTATATCTATTACATTGCAATATGACTCTCATGGCACGGTTTTGAGCTACCTGCAGTTTATTCAACTGCGCTTCTCCCATCCCGACTGATAGAGTGGCACAATACTCGAAATGAGGCGCTATTATGGATTTATATACAATACATCTAGTGTAGGCTGACACGAAGTTACCTATTCTGTTTAAAAAACTAGTCTTTTTCCCTATTTTCTTAAGCATATAATCGCAATGATCTTGAAATCGTAGTCTGCCATCAATAATTATACCTAAATATTTTATAGTTTCCACACGTTCTATTTTAGTTCCATCCAAACATTTCAAAATAGTATTGCCTCTCAATTCTTTTCGAATACTTCTAACTACCATATATTTCGTTTTATCCGCATTCATTTTTAATTTATTTATATTCATCCAGCGTTCAATTATATTAAAATAAACCATATTCATTTTTATCTCTATATCTGCGCTACTTTCTCCACTTACATATATAAGCGTATCGTCTGCAAACATTTTTATATTGCATCCCTCCGGACATACTTCGATTATATCATTTATATATATTATAAATAGTAGAGGTCCTAGTACCGAACCTTGTGGCACTCCGTATTCCGTTCTAAGACGTTCTGACCACTGATTGTTAAATTTGACTTGTTGCGTTCTGTTGTTTAGATATGTTCTAAACCATTCTAGCACTATTCCTTTCATTCCATATTGCTCTAATTTTTTTAACAATCTTGTCCTATCCACCGTTTCAAATGCCCGTTTTAAGTCTAGGAATATTACTCCTACTATTTCCCCTTCACTAATTGTTAACTTCCAATCATCAATGACGCTTTGTATCGCTGTTTCGCACGAATGATATTTTCTAAATCCTGATTGATGCTCTGATATAATATCATTATTATGTAAATATTCATCTATTTGTTCCTTTACGACTAATTCTAAGACTTTCTCATAAATTGGTAATATATTAATTGGTCTAAATTCACTTGCTTTCTTTGGTTTCTCTACCTTAGGAATTGGTACAATAGTAGATGTTTTCCATCCCTCCGGACACACTCCTTTTATTAATGAATCATTTATTATCTTCAATAGTTCATTTTTTATTACGTGAAAGCTCATTTTTAATATATCACTAGATATTCCCTCATCTGTTCCTTTTTTCTTTGGCAAAGCCATAACAATTTGTTCAAGTTTCCTTAAATTTATCAACTTAAAATATTCCATTTTATCACTACTATTTACAACATAAATGGTTTTTGTATTTTTACTGTCTCTTTTTTCTATAGATTTTATTATATCGTTAATGCTCTGTATATAAAATATATTAAAATTATTCACTAACGTACATTCTTCTACATTCTTTAATATTTCAAAGTCTATGTTATTAATTTCTTTCGAACCCCTAGTCTCTCCTCTTATGACTTCCTTTAGAGTTTTCCACATTAATACAGGATCATTTTTATTATCATCTATCATGTTCTCATAATATTCTTTCTTTTTTTTCTAATTATTTTGACTGCCGTATTTCTCTCAGTTTTAAACTGTAACCAATCTTGTTCTTCACCCGTATATACCGCTCTTGCATACGCCTCATCCCTTGCATTTGTAGCTAATCTTATATCATCCGTATACCATTTTTTTCCTTGTCATATCTTTGGAATTTTAAATTTTTTCTTTGGTGCTACCCTATCTAACGCCGCTACCATATTCTGCACAAATTTCTCTGCTCTTTCATTTACCCCTAAATTAATTCTACTTTCTAATCCTTCCTCTATTGCATATAGAAAATCATCTATTTGAAATTTGCTGTAATCTCTACCAATGAATTCTCTATATTTTTCTTCAATATTACTTCTATTAAGTTCAACGCTTATCCATAAATGATCTGTTATCCTCGGCTTATCATATACGATACAGTTTACCTTAGTATTTGCAAAAACTAAATCTATCAAAGATTGACTATTTTCTGTAATCCTAGTTGGTTTATCTACGTATTGTTTCATGCCCAAACACAACATCTCATTTACTAGCTTTTTAGCATAAAACACTTCCGTCATTAAGTTTATATTAAAATCACCCAACATGATGCATTGCCCTTTCGCTACTAAACGGTCCACTACATCCTCTATAAATCTTAAGAAATCACCATCCGACGCGCTCGGTGAATGGTACACTACTATAATTACTCCTTTATATATATTATCTCGCATTTTGATCGCTACACACCAACAGTTAGATACTATTTTTTCTTTAACTATTACCTCATATTTGATATCATTTCTTATGTAAGTCATTACGCCTCCTGTGTTTCTATTTTCCTCATCGCATCTAACTAAACTATATCCCGGCGCATTCACTTCACTGTCTTCTATTTCCGCAATGAGCCTAGTCTCCGACAACGCCACGACTGCAAGATTCATCCTCTTCATATAGTCTTGAATTTCATCTTTGTGCGCCATCACACTCTGCGAGTTCGTGTATACAATTGATTCCATCCATGATTGCTACTTAGTGGACTCCCAGCCCGCTCTTTTTTTCTCCTCCTCTAGTGCTCTGGTGAAAGTCGGACATTTTCTGTTTAACGCATCATGTTCGTCATTTATCTTTAAGTTGTACGTTTTACTTTTGTACATACAATTTACACACCTCATCTTCGTTACCTTACAGTCACTTGCTTTATGATTTCCAGCACATTTATGACATGTTTCTTCTCGCTTACAATTTTTAGCAATATGATAGTAACCCCAACATTTAAAGCATCTCTTAACACTGTAATGTTCAAACACAGGACATTTCCTCCATCCGATATTTATTTTTTCTTTTTTCAGCATCAGCTCATGGGCAATTTCATCTACCTCCATTATTAAGGAACCGTCTTCTTTTCTTCCACTTCCAGCACGAGAATTTTCGTTACCTTTGGCCATTCT